TTTTTTTTCTATGCAAACTTGCTGAATGCTACCAGGATGCCAGAGTTTTTCAGGAGAAATATTAAAGTCTGTCTTGTTGTTTGTTGCGTCTTCTTTCTTCCTTTTTTTTTTTTCCTTTTCATAAAATCCATTAAATAAAACCAAAATAAAAGTATAGTTATTGGAGCTTTGACTTCAAGACAATGTCATAGGCTGTTTGGGATTAAGGAAGGACCTTACTCTGAAGGTATTAAATCTGAACATTTAGATGCTGGTTGATGGTAGATGAAATATTCAGACTGGTAGTTACAAATTCATGGTGCCTGTTCAGAAGGAAATCTAGACTACCGTGGGCTGTGTGATATTAAAATCCTTAAATTGGGAAAAGACAGAGGATCTTAGCTACATCAGGCAGTAGCAGTCTTAATTTTACCTGAGTTGGGGTTTTGCCTTCAATTGCATGCAACCTATGTGAACTCAGTTTTATCTGCCCCTTACTTCAGAGAGCAGCAGCTCAGAGCCACTGTGAAATATCACCGTTAAAAACATATAAGTCTTTTGACTTGTTGGGAAGATGCATTTGCCCTGCTTGTGGCAAAAGGTTGGGGATTTTTCCTCCCAGCAGGATTATGAAAATTTTGAGAGATTCATCTAAGTACCCTTGGGGAACTTTCAGAGAACAAATGGTTTCGTAACCCATAGGAGGCAGTTACAGCTTTTTAGCTGTAATGGTATTTGGTATTTAATACAATCTCTGATGGTATTTCGCTTCAAAATTGTAGGTTTTGCCCTTTTATGTGGCACAATATAATCTGGTTTGATAGTGCTGACATAGAAGAGGAGTTTGAGTGGCTTGGGGAGGCAGTTCTTGTATAAAACCTGCAAAGAGTTTCATTTACCTTCTTGTGCAAGAGTATACTTGTGTAGAATTAATCTTTTGTTGCTTAAGAGGAATTGTGCTTTGTTGTAACTCTTCTCTGGTGCATATTGGGCAACTTCCCAGGCATCACTGAGCAGTCCAAACAGGTTTTCAGTGAGTTCTTGCAGCAGCAGGAGAAATGCTATTAATCTGCATGAGCCAAGTGACAGAACGTTTTCCTGTAGTCCCTGGAGTGCTGCTGACAAATCCCTTTCTCATTTATGGTTCCTGGAGGAATTAGGAGGCAGAGGTATCTGAAGAGATTCTTCTTTTTTTCTTTTTCTCTCAACCCTCCTGCTCCACTGAAACAAAGTGCTCATGTTCTTAACCCACCCAGAGATTCATCTGGGTTTATGAAAATCCTCCATCTTATCAAGAAGCCCTCTACCAACATTCATAGTGTCACTCTTCAAACACTTCTGTGTAACTGTCATCCACTGACCTTTCACACTACTGACAAGTTGTTTGTTTGTTTTTATCCTGTTGCAGGAGGACAGTGACCCTCCAGTGAATGAAAGTTTAAGCATAGAAAACACCCTATGGGCCAGCACAGTGATTGCATCAGGTAAGATGGAGGCATGTATAAATATATATTTATTTTTTTTTTTAAGGGAATATGTTAACAATTTTTAAAGGTCTGTTTGTAATGGAATAATAATCTGTCAGCTGGAGAAATTAGCAGTTGAAATGAGGTTTCTCACTTGTCTTAACACCTCTGGGGAGCTGAGCTGACGTCTAATTGCCCCTTGGACATTCCTAGATGAGAAAGAATTGAAGTGGCCTTTGGGCACTTCTTTAGCATCTAGGACCAGAATAGCACTTAATTGCTCTCCACATTGACATCCTAATCTGTAACAGAAATGGTGGCAAATAGGTTCTGGTAACAGAAGCTAAGATGAAAGATTTCCAGGTAAGTGCTTCCATTGAGTATGTCTTACATACTTTCAAAAAAGAAAAAAAATTAATCATTTGACAGATTTTGGTTTATATATATCTATGATAAGCTTCACAATGCCTGAGATTAAAAGATCTTTTCTAAACCCTTGAAAAGACTGCCCTTTTAAAAGGAGAAAGCAGTGAATAAATTTTAGTCCTGTATCTATCTAATCCTGCTCTGACTCTTTGAAATGTATCACAGTGTTGTCGCAGTGCTGTGACCAAGGGATCATAAAAAAAAAAAACTAGTTCACATACAATTTAACCAAGTAAATTATGTTTACAGATCAGTAGTTCTCATGCAGTAGGTAACCTGCCTTCCTACCCTCTTAAGTGCAGACGTGTAGTCAGCCTGGCAGCTTCACATACCCATCAGGGTGCTTGATGCATGAGTCTCAGGTCATCTTCCTTTTGAACAGAATAGATGGAGGAACAGAAAGCCATTTTTTGTGTGATGCTGTCCTGTCCCCCCTTCTCAGGGGGGCTTTGCTTGCTCTTGTATTGAAGCTTTAAATTGTACCAGCTCTTAAACCATAGCAGATCTCACACTGCTGTGGCTGAGCCTGACACAGAGGTGTGTTATGGTAAAGGGTCCTACCAAAGTCATGGAGAAATGCTCTGCTGCTCTCAGCACACTCACAGCCAGTGCCTGCTGAGAGTAAAAAACTTTTTCTCTGCTGTACACTCAGCTGTGTGTAGTTTACACGTGGGTGTAGACAGTTTTCCCCAAAGAAGGGCACAGTGCATGCTCTGCTCCACCTGCAGTGCTGGTTGGAAGCCCTGGGTGATACTGGCATCTGCGTCAAGGAGTGCAATGACTTCCACTCTGCTCAAATGATCTTACTGCTTTAATCCAGTCCTCCTTTCTGAATAAGTTATTTGTAGACAGACATCTTTCTGAGTTCCGTTGATGAAAACATTGGCAAATGTTATTCCTATTATTTCAAGTGGTTTATTCAATATAGTCTGTTTTCAGTGTCCATAAAATACTCTTTTTATACATACCAGTGTGCCTTCAAGCTGTTTTCTAGCCCTGGCAGGATTTCCCACTCATTTTGATTGACTTGATCAATATAAGACTCATTTTTATTTCTTCTATGACAACAATAAATAGCATGTTATAGGTTATTTCTGTTAAGAAAAAATGGGGATATTATTCTTTTTACCTCTGTAAGTGAAAGCTGTCAGGTGGTGGTGATGCCCTCTCACTGGAGCAGCCTTTGCTTGTAAGATGAAGTGGAGCTATGTGGCTTTCTCCATCTGCTCTGGGAGGAACAGGTCTGACTCTGACTGTTTGTGGTTGATTTGGAGTAGCTGTACCATCTGCTGATTTGAATTGTGATGATCTTGCCACCACCTGCCATCTGGCTCCAGTGATTTTTTTGGTTGTTTTTGGGTTTTTTGTGTGTTGCTTTTTTTTGGGGGTTTTGTATTTTTTTTTTTCCAAGGAATGTTTCCCAGCATATTTGTAGAAACCACCTCTTTTGACTCACTATTTAAAAATAATTCACTCACAGCTTGTGAACTTTGATCATTAACAGCAGCAGGGGAATAGCAGAGTATAAAATGGCAATGTATTTGCAGCAGTGCTTTTTTTGTTAATGTTGTTGTTCTCCGTTTTTACAGACCTCTAAAATTTTCTAGTAAAAAATTAGACTTTGGCAATAGCAGCTTTTAAAGTCTTGATGGTAGATAGCTTTTTCTTTATAGCTTTCTGCAAAATCGTTAAGAGAAATCTGTAGAAAACCAGTCATTTGTGGTGCTAAGCTGTATTATGTTTTTGTGAGAAGAAAAAGGAGAACTTTGTTCTCTCAGCTCTTTAGCAACTGTGGGACATGGCATTAAAATACACTGATAGGCTCCCAGCAGCTCCATCTGTTACAGTGAGGTAGGAGTTGGTATGATTCCCCTTCCAGTGGGAACAGCAATTAGACACAAATACTTAAATTGTAGATGTTAAAATAAGGTAATTCTCTCTTTGAAAGCTGTTGGAATTCATTGGATTTACTGTGATTGTGGCAACCTTCATTAATAAAGACAAACTGTAGCTCAGAGCACTGATTTTTGACAGTGAAGGACTACTATCTGGTGTAAGGCAAGCTTACACCTGAGTGGGATTCAAAGTGGTAGGAGGAAAACCAAGAAATCCTCCATCTTTAGCAACTTCTATTTATATTGGGAAGAGACAACTGACATCAAAATGGGCTCACAGAAAGTTGAGAGGCAAGCAGTTGGATTCTCTTTACATGCACATTAGTTGATACAGTTTGTGATGCTGTATCAAGTTCAACAAAATGGGCTGCGTGAAGATTAACTGACTTTTTCTGGGATGTTTTCTGTTCCAAGTCCATGTTTTCAAAGGTTTTGTGTTTCAGGTACTGCTTTTTTAACTTCTGGTTGGTATTGCTTCTGAAATTAACCTGGTAAAAATCCTTCCCAACTACTAAGCCTTTGATTCCATCAAGTGTTTACATTCAAAAGGAAAGAAGGGGAGGTTGTTTTTCTTCAGCTGATGCAGGCTCTGCTTTGTTTAGGTACTGTTGTGGGAGTTGTCCTCTACACTGGAAGGGAACTGCGCAGTGTGATGAATACTTCAAACCCAAGAAGTAAGGTATGGTTAGAAAACAGTCCTGTAATAAATAAAAAGGAGCAGAAAGTAATAATTTTTTAAAGAAAAGCCTTCCAAATGCTCTGTGTACACACTATAGGGACAACCTCATAGGAATGATTCATATCTTCCAGCCTAAGATACCACAGCAGAACCTATTTCTAGATTGTTTTTGATCCTGTTACAGATGTGTCTTTTCACTTATCTTTAAGATTGGCAAAAGTACAGTTTTATATGGTTATAATGAGATAGTTCCAGTTAGAATAGGAAAGCTTGTTTTGCTATGTTTTTCTATTGCACTAAAGCTAAGACAAGGTGCAGGGAGGTTTCTATCATGCAGCTCTTGGCAGCATGAGTCCTTTTGCACCTCTTCAAGCATTGCTGAGCTTCCAAAGGGTGAAAGTCTTATTTAATAAGCTGGTGACAGTATTGTTTATAAATTTAAATATGTTTTTAATATTTAAAAAGAGAAATTGACTAGTGGTGAATGGCTCTTTGCAGCATTTCATTCTTTTTGTGAATATTATGTTGAGCTAACATCTTCATTTGTGTGTTCAAAATGTCTGTTTTATTTCTTTAGATTGGTCTTTTTGATTTGGAAGTGAACTGTCTTACCAAGATCCTATTTGGAGCTCTTGTGGTGGTCTCACTTGTCATGGTGGCCCTTCAGCATTTCGCTGGCCGTTGGTATCTTCAGATCATCAGATTTCTCCTTCTGTTTTCAAACATCATTCCCATTAGGTAAGGCAATTGCTAACTCTTCCCAGCAAAATACTGCTTGCTTTGTGTCCTACTTCATGCTTCTAGTATGAACAAGCACATAAACTCTTATCTCTTCCTCATGTGACAGCTAAGCAAATCTAGAAATAGAAATCAAATTACTGTTTAAACATAAAAATTGCTTTGTTTTTTCTGCTGAATTTGTTCAACATATTCACCCATTCACTAACTCAAGCTCTGGATTAGTCATTTAAGGCTCCTTCTCTCAGTGTTTGGACTACCTGGTTACTTTGATAAGAGCAGAGTGAAAACTGGAAAAGGAAGGTTATGTATACAGCATGTAGTGTAATAGGACCCAGCTGCCTCTTAGAGAGAACTGAAACTTTAATAACTATATTAATAAGTAGATTGTTACTTTCGGTGTAGGTCTGGGATTCATTTCAGTTCCATTTTTCACCTGCTGTCCACATATCAGTCATGCTGTCCTTACTTGTCTGTGTCTGTCTTCTCAAATTTTGTCTGTTCTTCTTAACACATTTTATCATCTGGCTTTGAATTACAGTAACACTGGAGCAACGCACAGTCCTCTCCTTTTGCCCCCTGACCACTGGCTTTTAACATACTTGTCCTTTCATTGCTCCGTGGCAGTTCACGATGATTTTTCCCAAAGAGTAACTGGTGATACCTCCTCTTGTTCCTCTTCCTCCTGCATAGTTTACGTGTGAATCTGGACATGGGGAAAATTGTCTACAGCTGGGTGATCCGCAGAGATTCCAAAATCCCTGGGACTGTGGTTCGGTCCAGCACCATTCCTGAGCAGCTGGGGAGGATATCCTATCTGCTTACTGACAAAACAGGTATCTATTTAGAAAATAACAATTTAGAGTCATGGTATATTGTTGTTTGGATTTTTTTACATTTTTGGCCAACCAGAGGGTATAATGTAAGATTTCTTTGGACTAGAAGAAATACACATTTTCTGTCACTTTGAAAATATGATTTAATCAGTTCTTGGAAAAAAAAATTGCTTTGTTTTGTTTTGAACGCAGTTACTAAATAAATAAGATATGACAGGAATAGAGTGCTATAATATTATTTAAGAACACTTAGTGTGCTATGAAACCAAAAGCTGAGGGTAAAAATAAAATAAAAAACAGCTTTTGAAGTTAGTGTTCAGAGCCAGATGAAGATGGCTTACATATGTAGGCAGGAATGTACTATCACTCTGTCTGCTGCAGTCCTTACACTTCTGAATTTGAGCTTGAATTCAGAAGACCTAAGCTGCAATTAAAAGCTCGGTCTGACTTAAAATCCTGATCTCACTGAAGTTGTTTCCAGTTTTCTTTGGTTCCAACAGGACCAGAATTATGCTTGCAGCTCTTGCTAGCATTGACTTTGGGGTGAATCTCATTCTTATTTACTGGCATAGTACTGTGCACCACTACTTCCTGGGAGAGTTAACCCTCAGATTTGTTAATATTGTCTATTTTGCTGGCCTCAGCCTGTTTTGAGAGCCTGATGCAGTGAGTGACTCAGCTTCTGGACAGTTTCTCTTCAATTTTGGGTACAGCAAGGATGAGAACGTGTGCTGGGTAATAGGTTTGTTGGTTCCACCATGTCTGGTGTTGCTTCTGTTCCAGGAACTCTTACACAGAATGAGATGGTCTTCAAGCGACTTCACCTGGGAACGGTAGCTTATGGTCTGGACTCCATGGATGAAGTGCAGAGTCATATATTCAGTATATACACACAGGTAGAATTAAATTGTTCATAAAACGGTTTTCCTGGTCACTGGGCTAATGATGAATTAATATAGCAGGGATCAGCTTGTTAACTATTACTTTTTGGAAAAGTGTGAAGGTCATTGGATGCTTCATACATAAATGTTATCATTATTGATTATTACATTTGTAGATCGTTTGATATCCACCAGTCTTTAACTGCCACAGCACATACACAGATCTGGAAGCATAACTCTGTGTCTGGCTGAGGTCTGACTGTAAAATAACATACTTTTATTTAGGTATTCACCACTTACCTCAAACACAGCTTCATTGAAAAATTGGCACTGGGTGATGTTTAGTGGGTTAAGTTGCTGTTTGAAATGCTGTGTGCTGAGGCAGTAATGAAAGAAATCAGTACTCAGTAAGCAGTAACAGAGGGCTGTGCACCATTATCACTGCTTTAAGCCTGATGGTTAAAAAAGAATATGGTAAAAGTTAAATTGTTTCACTGATGCACTAGTTATGTGGTGCATAACTGACATCTGCTCTGAGAACTATCTACGCCTAAAGAAGGCAGCAAAGTCAACATGTAAAGTATAGAACAGGAAAATCCTGTTTTGGGAAGTCTCTCCCTTGCATTCCTCTTTCTGTGTCATGGAATGAGCCAGCATTTAAAAGGCCCTCATTTCTATGCTTAGACTTTTATTTCACTTTTGCATGATAACCAGGCAATGCTGTCTGACTTGTCTGGGTCAACAAACTGTGTTTCTTAGCATGTTCAAATAAACAAGATGCTTATTAATTGAAACTTCATATAGATGCATGCATTTCCTTTGTAAAACAAGGGATGAGGTTTTACTTCAGGATATTACTGCCTTTAGAAAAGATCAACCATCAATGGCTGATGTTCCACCCCTCTGAGTGATACTTATTTAAGAATTGTCACTGATGATGTAATCATGGAAGCATTATTCTTCATTTTCTGTTAATAACCATTCTTTCAACTGCAGCTAGAAATAAGTTTTTTGTGACTTAGCAACAATTAGATTCTTTTCTTCTGTAAAATGTGATTCCAGTGTTGCAATTGGCAGACATTAGTGATGGGTAACTGCTCCCCTGTCATATGTCAAGCATTTTCATTTCTGAGTACTTGTGGAATTGCTTAACTGCTACAGAAACCACAAAAGTAATTTTTTTAAGTGCCCATGTGTTTCCTTGAGCATGCACATCCACTGCAGTGAACTGGGTTTTTCACATCACGTTGGTTTTGCTTTGCTCTAGGGATTTTAGACTGAAGTTTGCTTTCTATACCCCCCCCCAAAGTGAAACATGGAGCCAGCATTCTTGCCTGGGAAAAGGCACCATGTACTGTCAATGGGATCTTTATTTTGAGGTTTTGGTAAAGATGCACAGCAGGTTTGCTTTACCTCAGTGGTTGTCTGGTGGTGTAGCTCTTCCCTGGGCAGACTGTCAGGCTACAATGTGCTTTTAACTAAACATATGACAGTTGATAAATACCCGATATTTTGAGTATCTATTTTACTGGCATATGTCTCGGGTAACTTGCAGTTCCTCTAGACATCTCTTTCTCCCTCCGCTGCTTTCACAGACTTCCTAGCATCTGGTTCTTCTCTTGGTGTTGAGATCCTTAAATGACTGTACTTTAAAAAATTCAAACCAAACCAAAAAAACAGAATTCAGATCTATTTGCCCTCATTTTGTACTTGATCTCGGAGAAAACTTGACTATTGGTTAATTATTTGCCAAAGTATTCAATACTTGTCAATAACTGACTAGTGACTGACTAGTCCAGTATGTGACTAGTGCTTTGTGTCAATCGAATCTTTAATGTCACTTCAGCTGAGGGTTTGCTGTTGTTTGATTTTGTTAAAGCCTGTTGAAACAGTGCTGATGAGCAGCAATATTAAATTTGAAGATCATGCGTGTCCTAATCGTTAGTGTGGAAAATAGCTCATGGAATCACACTGGTGAAGGATATGTCTCATAAAACCTTTACAATTACCAAGTGAGGTTCCTTATAATGAGAAGCATTTGCTGGCATTCATTTTGAACTGTAGTTCTTAAGTCTTTTTTACCATGTTGTGGCCTTTGACCTGGAAGTGAAACTCTTGTCCTCTTGACACTAAAGGTTAACAGAGCAGGAAACTAGATCACTGTGCATCCCTTCTTCAACCGGGGTAATTTAGTAATTGTGCAATTATATGAAGACTCCCATTCTGATACTAAAAATAGTATTAAAAATTAAATGAATGTAATTAAGATTTTCTAGGTCCATGGGAGTCATCTGTTTTCTCTTTTTGGCAGTTATATTCTCTTTCATGTGAAACCAAATTTGCTCTAAATTTTCAAGGCCACTGTATTATATGGAGCAGAAAGTGGTTTCAGTGGGCCCTCAAACTTTGGTCTTTCACCAGTTGGTGTTTGGATCAGCATACTGTTCTAAAATCTTTTGGAGCATTTTACTCCACCAGTACCAATGGTAAAGAACCTGCATTACACCGAGGTGTGTTCTTAGTAGTGATCTGAGTTAAGGTGTACGGCAAGTGCATCTCATTCCTAAAGACCTAAGAGTTTGCACAGCTGCTTCTCACAGAAGTAAGAACTTAAGGGTTTTTTTCCTACAATAACACTTTATTCTGCTTTCTTGTTTATAAGCAATCTCAGGACACACCTGCTGTGAAGGGCCTCACCTTAGCCACGAAGGTGCGCAAGAGCATGAGCAGCCGTGTACACGAGGCTGTGAAGGCGATCGCCCTCTGCCACAACGTCACCCCAGTGTACGAGTCCAACGGCGTGACCGACCAGGCTGAGGCCGAGAGACACTATGAGGACTCCTGCAGAGTGTACCAGGCCTCCAGTCCTGATGAGGTCAGTATCTCATTTGTTGTATAAAAATATGAATATGCCTGGTTTGTTGCTGAAGAACAAAAAAAATTACTTGGTGAAAGAGGGTGGTATTGTAATGCGTTTATTGCTCTGGTGAACAGACTGTAAGTGCAATATACTTCAGCCAAATCTGCCACTCTACCTGAAGCTACAGAGCTACATGGTGACTAGTATTTGTTGTATCAGCCTCTGCATCGTAGAGTTTGCACGTTACTGCGCCTTTTGTCCAGGGTATATTTTGCAGTGCAACGCCACGAATCTCTTTGACCATGTTTGGTAGATTACAGGCAATATTTTCTTGTCTGGGGGGTGAATGACTTGTGGCAGGGGGTTAGAGCATTGCTACAAGGCCGCTTGTTCCTGATCTGCAAGGTGTTGGAACTACCAGACCAAGTGAAAAGTTATAAGTCATGTTGGGTAGCACTGCTAACCCAGGACACATCCCATCCCATGTGGCTGGGGAGACCTGGAGCCTGAATTAATCCTGCAAAGTGAAGTGCACAGGAGTTTGTCTCAGAGCAAAGCTGTGCCATGCCAGTTCTCTGCCAGCACCCAGTCCAGCCAGGGCTAGGCAGGGTGATACTTTACAGTTACCCTGCATAGGTAAGTTACAGTTACTTAACGCAAGTTTACAGTTACAGGGTGGAAACTTTACAGTTCTCCAGAGACTTGCTGGAGACTTCTACTGAACACTGAAGATATCAGGTTCAATACACCCTCTGCAAAATTTGAAAAAAAAAAATTAGAATGTTATTTCCTTCTGTGATGAAGACAGGAGAAGTAAATTACAGCTTCACGTGTTGGTTTTTCTTCTTGGCTACATCTTCTTTAGTGCAACCAAGGTAAACCAATTTGGTTTCTCTTAATTTGTACAATTACTCTTGCTTTGTGCCATTGAAAGAGGCTGAAGTTTTAAGCTTCCCATAAGAATCCCACTGATGGTGTGAGGTCATATAACCCATTCGACTACATTCAAAGGGTTCTTCCATTTACTGCTCCAAATAAAACAGATTTGTGTCTGATAATAACCTTTTCACCTTTGACACCAGAAGAAAAGCTGGCTTTCCTAGTTTTTAGAGGTGAGAAATTGTTTACATAGAAGTAAATTTATTCATTAGAAGCCCAGCTCTGTGAGGATTTTGAAATTGTTTTGTGTATTACTGAAAGACTGTCACATAGTTAGCTTCTCCATTTCATATACATTCAAAATATTCCTTAGAGTGTTTTTCTTCCAAAGTAGGTAATGAATTAATTTTCTATAATGTAGTTTTTTCCATACTATATAAAAGCTGCATCTTTGCCTCTTTTCCTCCCTTCTCCACTGATGTTCCTGCAGTGACCCCAGGCATTTGCTCCTCCCCAGCTTTGGAGCTGGAGAGCAGTGTGCGTGTGTGTCCTCCCCCAGCACATCGTCTCCATCAGGGTTTTGCTTACCTGCTTTGCCCCTCTAATGTGTTGCTCTTCCCCGTAACCACAGCTTACAGAAAGTGACTGCCTTTGGATTGAAGCAAGTTCTGAATGATTTCCAGATGATAATTTTTGTGATATCTATTTAAGGTGTGGGTTGTTTTTGTTTGTTTCTTTGTTTGTTTTTGGTTTGTTTTTTTGTTGGTTTGTGGGTTTTTTTTGTGTTGTTTTTTTTTTTTTTCCCTAAAGTGTCTACTGGCTCTTTTTGCACAGATCCCTTGTTTATTTACATATATACTGTATTATATAGTATTGTATATATGATTATATATATTATACAGTGAAATCAGCAATTTTTCTTTTCCTTTTTTACTTTATACCGTTCTGTCTTTAAAATATTTATGCAGCAATTTGTCTCAAATACCCAAGGGATTATTGTTTGTTTTACTGTAGCACAGTAACTAATCTGTCCAAGATTATTTTTTAAATTCTTTTTTTCCTTTCTTGTGGTGTCTAGTTAAGGTAGAGAGTTACAGTGGGTTCAGAAATCAGATACGCTTTGCTGCAGCAAGGACATGTTGTCTGTAGGTCTTAGATGTACAAATATTGTTTAGACATGCTCTCTGTATGTCATACTAGATGGTACAAAATGCAGGATTAGCACAAGTTGAGTCCTTGAGAAGAGAGGGATGCTGTTAAATAACGTTCCCTGTAGGGGAATAGATTTGGACTCCTGTTCAAGCCAGCCTTTGAAATGCTATATCAATAAAATATTGCCGTGGGAGGGAAGGTCAGTTTATGAAAGGAGTACAAAAACGTGTATTCTCTTTAACAGCGAGGGTAATTTCTACCAGTTGGCATAGGATTCATTTCCTGTAACAGAAAGCAGCATTTCCTAAATTTGTTTCCTGTGCATGCTGCCATTTAGAAGTCTTGAAGTATCTTTATTCAGATATCGGTTACAGCCTTGGGGCTCTGTGAGCCAGTTGTCAGTTGTGGCCATACAGTAACTAACAGGGGAAATGAAATAGATATAATCTGATCAGAGATAAGAGTGCCTGAGATTCCTGGGCAAACAGTCTTTAACCCTGACAACCCACTGCAGCTGCCAGGACATGAAAGGGTGCACGGATCAATTGGTTTCTGCTTCTTGTCTGTCTGCCTAGGCAACCCTAAACGGGACATTTGTAGAGCAACTCATGCCACAGAAGAATCAATTTGTCTCTTTGGAATGAAATTTATTAGTCAATATCCACTTCAGTGGTGGCTTGGGTAATTCAGTTGTCAGGAAGAGCAAAGTTTGGGGGATAGTGTGCTGAGCTGCCGTAGCTGTTCTGCTTTCTGATGCTCAGATCTGTGTGTGACTTGGCTTGGACAAAGCTGCAAACTCCTGGAGTGTGGTCAGGGACTTGATTGATTTCCCCTCATCAGTGCATGGGCTTTCACGAAGGTGTCTGAGAGATTTCAAGCCTGCTTTTAGATCTCCTCATTTTAAGCTGTGAACATGGTTTTGCATCTTGAATGTTTCTCATCTTTTTGCTGTGACTGAGAGCACCTCTGGTTATCTGTTTGCACAGCACAGAGTAAAGCTCTTCTGTCTCACGTGGAGCTGGGAACGAGCTCCTGTCCTGAGGTGCTCAGGCCTTGCCAGAGGAGCCATCAACACTTTTGTTGCCATTGATGTTGTCCACTGGTGCCACAACACTTCCAAGAGGCCAGGCCCATTGTGTTGCCTGTTGAATGGGGATGGGAATGTCAATGCTTTTAGTACATCTGATAGGAACCCTTCAAAATTATATCACTTTCCCTCTCAGTAATCATCCATAAAGTACTAGAAAGGCTGGGAAGTGGCACGTTCAGAGGGGTCAGCTCCACTTCCCCTCCAGTGCTGAATGCAATTCACCTCAAATTCAAATTTGAGGGCCATTAAGGGCTGACAGGATCCATGCCTGCTTGAGCCAGCATGGAAAGAGGGGATTTCTTTCATTATTCTTCCCCTTCCATTGAGGTACCTTTTTGTGGTCTCAAGGCCATCCAAAATAACTGGCATTGTGCAGTGCACTGCAGTTAATTTGAAGTGTGTGATGTGCATGGTGTGGCACCCCTGAGGTGCTGCTCATCCATTTATTCCTCTGTGCAAGGTGTTTCTTTCAGGATCTTTAAATGCTTCCTGACATAGGATGTATAGAATTATAGAATCGTTTTGGTTGGAAGGGACCTTTTAAAGATCAAGTCCAACTGTTAACCCAGCACTGCCAGGTCACCACCAAACCATAACCATACGCATTTAATTGAGGTGCTGGCAGAGAAAAGGAGGGAGGAGGTGTCTGAAAGAAAGTAGCTAAGGAGATGCTTCAACAGGCTGAGCTGGGAGCAGAGATTTGTGTCTTGAGACATTTGTATCTACAGCATGGGCAAGTGAAGAGCCCGTTCTGCACACACTGAACATCACCTCACATCATGCTGTGAAAAATTCTCAATAATTATTTATTAACCAGAGTATTTAGAAACCCAAGCGCCATCTCTGCTCTGGGAGACTGTTGAGAGGATTATCTAACTGCACACTTTAATGCACCAAGGATGGCTTGAAGAAACTTTTGAAAAAGATAAGCTTGAAAGAGCCTTTGATTTGCTGTAATCTTTGTGAATAAGCCTGCAAAAATTTGCTAATATTAAACCAAATATTGATTCAAATTGATGTAAAGGTCTTTGAAGGTAAAGTAAACTCAACTGATTTTTGTTTTAATCTGGTGATACAAGACTATTTTTTGAAAGGAAAAGTTTATTTTAGATTGTCTTTTAAGCCTAATTGTGGATGAGAGGGAGCTGAGTTCACAAAAGATTCTCCAATTAGACCAAATTGTATGAATTAATGTAGTAAAATTGTGACTGCAAATCTTTGTTTCATTTTTATCTGTATCTCGTGTATGTGATTTCCCAAAAGAAATTCTGTTTTTATCACTTAAGGCAATAAAGGCAGAACCCGAAAGTCACAAAGAATAATTAACCTTCAAGTCAGCAGAAACCGTGTGTCCAGCACTCTCATGTCTTTGAAAATAGCATGAGAATTCCACAGAAGAATACTTCCAGTATTTTGTGTCTGTTAGGAGAAGGTATCCCTTGATCCTTTCTGGAGGCCAGTGATATATGGGCTCATGTCAGCTGCTGCTCCCATCCGTTACTGCCCAAGACAGCTTCTGGAATTAAACACTCCTATCTCAGCAGGCTCAGTCTTAGATGAATGTGTCAGCTGAGGTGAGAATTCCGGCGGGATCATCAGGGAAGCAAAATTAAAGGCTTTGGTTTTCTATCATGGCTATAGTTGCAATCTAGTGAGAGCTTGTAAAGAAGTCAATGTTGTACGTCCTTTAATATTGGAAGTGGCAATCAAAATTATAACCTACACGAGTTCAATTAAATGAATTAAATGAGGATGTGCCTTGAACAATCTGGGGTTTGTTTGGGTTGTTTGTTTGGGGACTTTTATAATGTTTGGGGAGTAGGGATTCTGTGGTAAGAGGTGTGTGTGAACCAGCCTTCAGCTGTCTTGCTGATCATTACAGAGGTTGGAAGTTGTTGATGAACTGTTACTACAAAACAGTGTAAACACAGAGCTCATTTTGTTTGGTTTCTTGATATGAAATGTTAATGTGCTGTGCATGTCTTTCTGGCTCTGATAGAGTAAGTCCAGGGTGAATGCATTGTTTGGAACTCTTGATTTCCTAAACAGGAAGCTGTGAAATAGCACATTCAAAAGTAAGTGTTTGTAAAGAGGTTTACCTGATGTGCCTGAGCAGAGGTTTGGGCACCTCAGGCCTGGTTGGAAGGTACCCGTGCCTGCTGCTGTTGAAGTTTTGTCCTTCAGGATGTGTCAGTGGAAGGCAGGGAGCCAACCAGCCAGCCTCCTGCAGAGAGCCTAGGATAGCCTGGCAGCTGAATCAGACAGGAGCTGGGCTGCCCAAAGCCCCAGGATACTGTTAGTAAGCTTGGAACTTCTGGAAGAGCCCACTAGAAAGAACAAATAGGAGAATCTGCATGTGTGAACAGACCCATTCTACTGCACCCTTAATGACTACTGAAGTTCTTTGTGGTCCCCACCTGTTATCCCTTCCCTCTGGTGCTGCCCTGGGGAGGTGTGGCATGGGTTGGCCACCCTCACCGTGGCCTTCTCCTCTCAGGTGGCCCTGGTACAGTGGACCGAGAGCGTGGGCTTAACGCTGGTGGGCAGAGACCAGTCCTCCGTGCAGCTGAGGACACCGGGTGGCCACATCCTGAACTTCACCATCCTCCAGATCTTCCCCTTCACTTACGAGAGCAAGCGCATGGGGATAATCGTTCGGGTAAGTGGCTTTGGGTGAGCTCTCATGTCTCCACAAACCTCTTGCTAACACAACCTGAAACATGTCAAACACTTGCTCTCAGCTCTGCTGTTCTTCTTGGCTGAGCTTTGCAGTCTCCTCTACCTCAGGCTGTAATCTGGCTCTCTGCTTTGAGCTGATAGCATCTTATGGCTGGGTGTGTTTAGTGGTACATCATTTGCCTTGGCTGTATTTGGCTGCAAGTGCTGTAGTGCCCTCAGACATCTTTATTTTATTGATCTTTGATCCCTTCCTCAAAACAATGGAGGAGTCCAAGCTGCAGGCACTCGGGGTGTGTGTCCTTTGCAACTCCAGCTTCTTCCTGCTCAAATTTCACATGTGCTCCAGGGTGGGTTTCTGCCATACACCTCCCTGTGTGTTTTTGTGCAGTTGTCATTGAGGACAAAGTTAGGTTGGGGATGGATGTCCAGCCAGGCCAGCAGCCAGCACTGCCACCAGCTGTGGAGACAACTCCTTGGTGGTGCAGCAGGGCCTCTGGGATGGTGTGGGAAGGAAGAGGGAGTTCAAGGGTTTCACTCTGGCTGTGAAACCAAGGGCCCTGGAAATGCTGCAGAATGCTGGGAGAGGATTTTTGCTACAAGTATGTAAGGTGGAAGCAGCTACAGGAGGGATTGGTGGGACATAACAGAGCTAAAATCCGAGTGTTTGGGCTGTGTGTGCTGCACCAAGGCTCAGCAGCTTTGATAATCAGTAGAGATGCTGTGTTACCTCTCTGTTGTTGCAAGAAAACTTGAAGCCAGCACTGTCAGCAAAAGAAATAGTGACCTGTGGACCCAAATCCTGTGTCCCTTTGCACAGTGGCTGACACAGGTCAGGAGGAAGAGGAGCTTGGTAGGGGCAGGACTCTCCAGGGGAACAGGCACCAGCAGTGTCTCGGGGAAGATGGAGCTGACTTTGAAGTCAGCTGGGGTTGTCCCTGGGGTTGTGGGTGTGTCTTTCTAGAAGCTTGTGTGCCTGCTGTGGTCATGCTGGCAGAGCTGAGAGGGGGAAGGAGAAACTATTCAGTGTACTGGGGCTGTGAGTTGACCTAGGTCACAAGTGCTTTCTCTCCCTCGAGGTCAGCCAGGAGCAGGAACCCTGAGCAGATTCTCAGGTCCAGTTACACTGCATCTCCGAAGCAGTTGTGGTGGTACAGCAGAGGGTGATGCAGATGGGAGCAAGTGGGAAGGAGGAAGGGGATCCTGGACTGATGCCACAACAAACTCTAGGATATTGTCAGTGGTTTTGTGCAAAGTGCTTTCCACTTTGTGGAAGTGCTCCTCAGATCTCTGCCAGGCATCAAATGTCCTCTCAAACCCTGCAGAAGTACAGCACCACAGGAGGAAGTACTTGTAGCTACAGGAAACTGGAAATTTGGAGGGGGTTGTTTAACAGAGGCCACAGCCATGTTGAGAACACAGCATCATGAGCAGGGTTTGAAAATAGCCAAGTTAAGTTAAAAGGCTGCATTTTTGCAAGCACTTTTAGCAGCAGCAACTGAAATTGTACACATAACTTCATGGGTTTATGCACAAGTACAATATAAGATTGGATTCTCAGAAAAAAATTACCTTAAAAAGGAGTAACAAAAAGGAAGTGTGGGTGTTAAGACCAGCTGAGATCAGTTATCACAATTATCATCATTAGTTTTCAAAATAGTGCTAGAGAATCAATGTTAGTAAGATAAACCCAGCTATGGTAAGGCACTTCCATTTGCCTGCAGAGCAAACAAGGTGAAGCAGTCTGAGTAGTTTTGTTTTTTTTTTAAATAATTAAAGCATCCCTGTTATTTTTTTACTGAGGGCACAGACAGATAATTGGTACCAAGAATCTAAAACATGAATATGAACCCTATAATCCCCAGGGTAAGATATGACTTGTTGCACCATTTAATGGGATCTGCAGCTTTGTTATTTAGGGTGGGGAGAACAGGTAAGATTGGTGTGTTGTTTATCTTAAAATTATTATTATTTATTTATTTTCTGTTTTCACCCTCTGTTTACTTTGTGGTAAAACATGGAATTGCTGCATGCTTATTTTGGGGTATCTGGAAATAGGGTGTAAAAATACCTTCTGCCTAACATATTTTAAGGTACAACAATGGGAGGAGGACCCTTTGGTATAGATAGTTAGAAGCAGTTGGGATCAGCATTGCACGTTGGCCTCATCAATAGCAGATTCATTTGGTCTGCTTTGTTGGCTGATGTTTGGTAGCTTCACAAATCTCAACTTGTCTGGGCCCCTGGAAGAGCACAGCCCTTGTCAGAAGTGTCACTGTGAAGGGATGATGTAAAATGGAGCAATTCTGTGGTTGTATTCAACAGGTATTGCAGTGAACTTTAATGTTATATTACCAAGAGATTTGGTGATACAGGTGTAACTGTAATATGTGGAGATAGTTATTTTCACAAATCCATAAAGGATGAATTGTGTTTAATGCAAAATGGGTTTAAGGGTCATGCAAATGGCTGTATTTGTGTTATCCTACCTGAGCATTTTGGACCTGGATCTCCTTTTGCTCAAGGAATTGCTTTTAAGTTCTGGATCACACACCACAGTATGCTCTAGGGGCCACAGATTTGTATTTCAAGTCGTTCCAGGCTTTGGAATATTAAAACATGCCCAAGGGCAGGAATGTTAGTTGAAGTGGGCTGGTAGGCTGAGCTTGTACAAAGTAATCAGTGTGTTAGATCTGTGAATCTAGAAAACCAGACGAATGCCATCGAATGTCCACAGTTATCAGTGTTCCCACGAATGTCTCGTGCTGTGTGGGATAGCTGCAGCATATGCATTTGAATACAGCAAGTATGCATTCTTTAGATCAATAATTTTTATAGTAAAAATGATATGGAGACTTCAGACAACCTTTTCAAGACCTAGAATAAAAATATTAGCAATAAAAGAGGGAAAATTAAGCCATGGGGAGAGAGGTTGTTTACTGTAAGTGTGAACTTTTGATATGATGCTGTTTTGTCAAAGATATAAGAAGTGAGCCAGGGTACACTTCATTAAATTGTATTTATATGTTCAGCAGAGAAGTGGATGCCCTGAGATTTTCTCATCTGTTTGGGAAAGACTCCTTTTTTTTTTTTCTGGCTTAGATTTTAAGCTTATTCCTTTAAAATTATCTATTATCTACATACTCCCCTGCTAGGAAGAAAAAGGCTTCTGTTTTGCAATTTTTATTTGGAATATTACTACTGCCAAAACCAGCAGAACTCCCACTTGTGATCAGTGGAAGCAACAGCAAGCCCAGATCCTGACTGTAAATACCATTAATGGAAGTTATGACCTCTCTCTGTTGTACTTGTTATTTGAGTGTCTTTATTTTGCAGCTATTGAACTGCTGCTAAGCCACTAAAATCAGCTCCCTGTATACCCTGTGTAGACATGGGGTTTGAGCAGCAGATGCTCATTGCTTGGGTATTACTTTGCCACATTCCTGTATATTCCAAAATAGTATCTTCAAGCAGAGTTTTCATATTCTTAAAGAAAAAAAAAAAAAGAGTTCATGTATAGGTAGTCAAGTCAAATTTTCCTATATTAAACGTACATGTGTGCATGTGTAGGCGCTCAATTTGCTTTTGATCCACGGCTTGCAAGGTGTTTACCTCTTCAGTGTACCTTCTAAAACCATGCTGCTTGTTTGAAAAACAGAAACAAAGGGAAGGAAAGTAGCGTGAAGTATCCAGAAGACAACGGACACAGTGAGCAGCTGGGGAGGGGGGAGAGAGAGAAGCTGCAGAGTGAAACTGCGCTCAGGACTGTAGGGAGTGCAATTCAAATAGTAATATTTTCTGCTCAGCTATACAGATATTGCACATTCTTATAAACTGAAACTTTTTCAGCTAGCAGGAACCTTTGCAATCATCTTGTCAGGCTTCCTGTACAGTCTGGGTATAGAGTTTCTTCAAGTGATTCCTGTATCCAGCTCAGTAACACTGTTTCTGAAGTCCTCGGCAGAGACACCCGTTGCCCCTGCTGCTCCTTGCTCCTATAAAAAGGTCTCCTTCAACACATAACTTTTAGTAAATAAAGTAGTAGTTATTATTAAAACAAGTAGCAGATGTTGCTTTGTTTGGGATATCTTTGCAATATCTGCTCGTTTGCTTGTGATCAGCTGTCATTTCTGTAGCTGATAATTGCAGTTCTAAGAAATCCTGTTCTACCAAAGCAGCCACTCTTTACCATAGAATTTACAGACTTTGCTTCTTCTTGAAAGAAGGTCTGTTTGTTTGACCACAATATTTTCCATTCTTTTTTTTTGCATTTTTTTCCTCTTACCCGTGTGGAATGATCTTTGTTGTAATGCAAAGATAGTGCTATTGTCATATTTGGAATTGAAAGAAGCCTTTGAACTGTGGCCAGAGGCAGACCATGGTGGAAAAAGATGTCTCTCCAAAACAATATAACTGGCAAATCTCTGTGTAGATTTATAGTGTGATCTTACCATAAAATGAAAATGCACTAACCTCCTATTGAACTCAGTGAGAGGAAATGACTAATGCAAGGAGATAGCTGATACAGTATTTATATTGGACAAAAAAATCTAAACTATCTTAAGCCAGTTCTGCAGCACGGGAAGTGGAGTCTTTATTCAGTTTCCTACAGAGATGTTGTTAGACACTTTGTAATCAAATAATTTAGTAGATAAACCTTTACCTTTGGCTACTGCCAAAAGGATTGTTTTGTTTAAGCAGATTCTAGTTGTTTTGGTGGACTGACATGCATTTTGCTTTGGGGATGTGTGGGCTTCAGTATATGAAGGCTGGGTGTTTCAGGATGCTGAAGCCATGCTTAACCTTAATTATAAGAACCTTCCTTGTGAATACCTCCATGAGTTTGGCAAAAATGCTCAGTAAAGGAGCTTTGTTATCGTTGGCTGCCTCTTAATTTACCTAGCAAAGACACTTACTTGTCTTAGCATTTTTAGTATCCTCATCAGGTGCTGCTGGTTTTTTTTGTTTGTTTTTGGGGTCTTTTTGCCCTGTGGATTTAAACTCCATTTTGCCAGGGCCACAGTATGTTAGGCTTTTATGTACTGACTCAAACTCTTCATGTAAACTGCCTTCACTGGTAGTTTCTGTAATGGCAGGTCAGACTGACACATATAAGAATGAAAAAGTGTCCACTGTGTTTTCTTTAATTTCTTTCTTTTTCATAAAGTACTTTTCTCCCTTTGTTCACAGCTGTCTATTTCCAGTCCTTCCTGGGCTTTTTGGTTTTGCGTGTTAAGTTTATTTTCTTCCTATCCCTGGTGGCTGTCTTGGTTTACAGAGCAGTTTGTTCCTTACTCATTGTTTTGTCTCCTTTGAGGAAATTGCCAGGGTTTCCATTAGCTTGTAGTACTAATAGCTGTGACTTCCTTAGGTATCTGCCTGGTTAGAAGGGATTTAATTTGTGGTAATGTAAATACGCTTTGCTTGCGGCCTACAAATTACTTGGATCAGATAAGGCAGGCAGCAGTCTAACCTTTCTGTGGCAAGCATAAGCTTTAATTACGCTTATACTAGATAATGGAACAGAGTGGGTAAGTTACAGTGATTTTTATTCTGTTAAGCTTTGTATATCTATTTCATTGTTTCAGGTAAGCATGAAATAACTTACAGCCCTCACTCTGAAAATTTATTGCAAAGGCACGTTCAGTCAGGACTGAGAGCTCGCTGCGTGGAAATCGCATGTTGCTGATTAAAAAGTTGCTTATCCTTGTCTAAAGCATCAATTCCTACTGTGAGTAACCAAGCTGCAGTTGAATAGTCATCTCCTTTTGGCCCCAAGATGCGGAGCCAGGTAGACCTTCAGGCTGACCCAGTGCATATATTTCTGTGACATGTTCAGAAAACTTGTTCTATGCTTGCTTGAGGCCACTCCAAATATGCTGATATTACCCCAACTTAAACTCTGTTTTTTATCTGCAGGATGAATCAACAGGAGAGATCACCTTCTACATGAAGGGGGCTGATGTGGTGATGGCTGGGATTGTGCAGTACAACGACTGGCTGGAAGAGGAGGTATGGAGCTGTCTTTCCTACCTATGGAAGGTTTCTCATGCAGGTGCTTTTCACCCTCCAGGGCAACACATTGCAAAGGTTGTTCACATGGCAGGGTAGATATAACTGTTAAAACATCTGCAAGCCAGAAGGTCAGAGATCTTGGCAACTGGATTAGTCCTCAGCCAAACACATATGCAGTAACAAAGAAATCTGATGGCAAGTTCAACATATTTAATGCAGAATAAATCCTGTAAATGAAACAGGTTTTGCTCAAAACTGATTGCCACTCAAGATCACCAAATTTGTCCTGGGCTTGATCCTGTGTTTGTGTTTATTTTATAGAGAAAGGTCTAATTTCAAAACTACATTTGGCAGCTTTGTACTGAGAAATGTTTGTCAGGTTGGTAGTGATGTTGACACAGAGTTCATAGCAGTAGCTTCAGTTAATGATTCTCCCCACCCCATACCCCTGATTTTCAAAGAAATAATACCTTGGTCTTATTTTAAAGAGTTGATGGCCAAAGATATGAAGTCTACAAATCAAAGGCTTGTGTCCTTTTAGAGAGAAAGGAAATGAGATCAGTGAGGTTGGTTTTGCCACACTGGTATAGAAGAGAAGACATTTTTTTTTTCTGGTTATTGGGGTAGATTAGAAACCATTGCAGATCTCCTTTTTTCCTCTTGAGTTTTTCATGCACTTTATCAGATGTTAGAGACTCACTAGGGTTGCTCAGATGAGACGGTTATTTTCTTAACCTGCTATCTTATGTTGCCATCTCTGCAATGCTGTGCATAAATCATCTTACTTGAGATGCACTTTATGGTTTACGATGTGATTCTTCTTTCCAGTGTGGTAACATGGCTCGCGAGGGCCTGAGGGTCCTTGTTGTAGCCAAGAAATCTCTTACAGAAGAGCAGTATCAAGACTTTGAAGTAAGTTTTTATTATTTTTTTTTTCTGTGTTTTTAAACAAACAATCACTGGAACGGTTCTTACAGACCTCTCATGATAACACTGCCTCTTGTCTCTCTACTCCTCCTGGTAGAATTGTCATTCTTCAGTGTCTTGCTGTTGTTTTAATCAAAGTTGGTTTTTAAGTGTTATGTGTGAAACTGGATCCCAGCCTGGACCCTCCAAAACGGTTCCTGAATCCTGCCTTACAATTTTTTTTGGTTATAAATTCTGCAAATATTCATCATTTGCTAAACAAGCTGTGTTTGTGAGGGGTAATATGCTGGCTTTGACTTTTCATTGTTGCATTCCAACATTCAGGGAAACTACAAGCAACCGAAATATAACCCAGCCAGGCTTCACAGACTTCACACCTGTGGTTTGTTAGATGGGTCTCTACACATACCACTAATTTGCTTATCCAAGGCAGGCAAAATATGAAGGAGAACTGTTCAGTTTAATGCAGAGATGAGATGGTGGCAGTACTTAGGATTCTCTATCACTATTGTATTCTACAAAAAGGCAGGCTGGCTGTGTGAGTGACTGTGGCTCTGCTCCATCCTCAGGCACGCTACGTCCAGGCCAAGCTGAGTGTGCACGACCGCTCCCTGAAGGTAGCCACAGTTATTGAGAGCCTGGAAATGGAGATGGAGCTGCTGTGTCTCACCGGCGTGGAGGATCAGCTGCAGACAGACGTCAGACCCACTCTGGAGACGCTGAGAAATGCTGGCATTAAGGTCTGCCTAACCTAATGTTACTCCAGGCAGGAACACTTAGACCCTCTGGAGTATGTGGCACAGTATATTAAGACACCTTGGAGGTCCTGTCAAGAGAAACGTTTCATCAAGTGCCCTTTGCAAGGGGGAATGGTGGGACTGGTCAATGCTTTTTAAACATCACTTTGGGAACAGAACATGCTGGAAGTAGTGAATGTTAATTAAGCACATGAAGGCATGTCACCTTTTGTGCCTTTCTTCCCTAATGTGCTCTGGCTCCTGCAGAGAGGCTGAGTGCATAGCTGGGAGGGTGGCTCCAGGACACTTTTGGGCAATTGTTTCTTTCAGCTAGTTGTATGAATAAGACTGGTTTGGATGTGTTTGGTCTCTGGTGCACGAACTCCCGTGCTGGGGTTGAAGCTGTGAGTAGATATAATTTCAGTAGCCACTAGAGGGGGTCTGAGCCAAAAGAATCGAGAACTGGCTGGTTGGTTTATTTTTTTTGCAGTTTCCTGAGCTCTGGCATCTAAGAGAGCCTGAGCTGTGCTTAGCGGCCAGGGAACTGGTGCAGTGCCTGCTTAGTTGGTCTCTCTGAAAACTTGTCAGTCAGATCCCAGACTTACAAAAGGGAAAAAAAAAAACCAAGACTAAACATTCAAATATGGGCAAGAAAAGTAGGCAAGAAGTCAGCAAAGTGAGCAAAAAATCTTGAGCCACGCTGCAAATCCAAAGCAGGATTGTGTGTTTGGGATTTAGTTAGGAAGTGTAATTCCAGGCCTGGAACAAACTTCCAAAAATGTTTTCTGTTTGGAGCCATCCCTGTAAATAGCGGAGACTTCAGCAGAAAATTGAGACGAGCAGAATCAGAGTTTCTTAGCAGCACTGTGGTTTTCTGCCCCTGCGCTGTGCTCCAGCCAATTATTCCAAAGCAGCTTCTTTTTTTTTTCTCCTCACCTTGGCTGGGGTTGGTGTCAGGGTGTGGAGCATGTCTTCACACAGCGAGCACTGTGCTTCCAAGCACTCCTTGCAATGGTATGTTCATTAGGATATTGCATGCAAGAAGTAAATCAAGAGTGAAGGCAGCTTTGTAATTCATTACAGGGACCATCTTATTATGATCAGATATCTTTCCAACCTCAGACTATTAAACAAATAAGTGAGTCTTTGTGTGTTGGGGGTTTTTTTGGTTGTTTTTTTTTTTTTTTTTTCTTTTTGCATTTTGGGGGATTTTTTTTTAAAGTTTTGTTAAATATTCTTGGGCAGTGTCTTGGAAGAATAAAAACACCAGTGGAAAAAACCCAAACTCTGATATATTTACACTATTGAAGGAATGCCTTGCCAGATTATAACTGGATATTGATGTCGAGTATTGCTGCTGAGACTGCTTTCTAATGCCCCCCCTTACCAGCACAAAATAAAAGGAGCAGTGTATATTAAAAAAAAAAACAAACCCAAAAAACAACACACACACCAAAAACCAACTTAGTCTGTTCCAGATGCACACATCAGCAGTGAGCTAACCCCAGTTGCATCATCCACGTTTCAGGCAGGGCCATGAGGGATCTTTCTGCGGCAGGGCCCGTTTATTTCAGCGCATGAGAAATAGCTGGGGTGGGACACATGAACACACGCATACACATTCTTTAGCTTGCATTTTATGGGTTTATCAGAAGAATCTTAAAATTCTGCAGGTAGAAAAAATGTTATACATAGTTAATAACTTTTGCATTTCAGTCTCTGAAAGCTTTGCTTTCTTTCATCTGTGAGAATTTTCTTGTATGTTTTAAAATAAGACTTTTTTAGAAGAATAATTTGTGTATGTATCCCAGCAGTCCTTTTATATGCCTGAAATGGCAGGTAGTACTTCTGGATGTCCTGCAGATGTGGTTGTTAAGTTTTGTATTTAATACATTAAATACTTGGATTTTAGGTGTGGATGCTGACAGGGGATAAGTTAGAGACAGCCACGTGTACAGCCAAGAATGCGCATTTGGTGACACGGACACAGGACATCCATATATTCAGACTAGTGAGTAAGAATCATGCCTCTCTCTCAAGACTTGTTCAGGACCCCAGATTCTGGGACAAGGGGGTGCTGAGATCACAACTGTTTTCCAGCAGCAGACCCAGAATATTCTTTTGACTCAGTTCTCTATCTGCTGAGTGTATATTCATCTGACTGTGTACTTTTGTTCCCTCTGAGACTTGTTTTTGGTTTTTTTTTTCCACCCCAATGAAGCAAACCTTTCCTCAGCTCCCATCTTTTTCCCCAGGTGACTAACCGTGGAGAAGCCCACCTAGAGCTGAACGCCTTCCGCCGGAAACACGACTGTGCCCTTGTTATTTCTGGTGACTCCCTGGAGGTAGGCTCCAACACCTAAGGCTGTTCAGGAACAGCCCTGAGACACTAGTCAAAATTGGATGATTTTTTTTCTTTTTATAAAGAAACTGCCATAGCACAACCATTGACGACGCTTTTGATCTCTGTAAATTAGGTGTGTCTAAAATACTATGAGTATGAGTTCATGGAGCTGGCTTGCCAGTGCCCTGCTGTTGTGTGCTGCAGATGTGCTCCAACACAGAAGGCCCAGATCGTGCGATTGCTCCAGGAAAGGACTGGCAAACTCACCTGTGCAGTAGGTAAGGGAGCAGTGGCCATGTAGGATGTTCCCTCCTCTAGTTCGTTTGAGCAAACAGTCCCTCGTCATCTTGTAACATCTGGTAATGCTCAGTTAGGGAACAGTGTTTCTGTGGGATGATTAAGAAGATGAAGTTTTGCATATGGAAATTTCAGTGACAAACTACTCGTAAATATTTGTGGTGGTATCTTTGTAAAACAGAGCTTGAATATGATCAGGTAAAATGCCATTGCTAGTCTGTGTGAGCTTTATTTCAGCATTGTAGGTATAATGGCACACCTACAAGTCAGATAAAGTGATCAGTGACCCTGACTAAAAAACAGAACAAAGATGTTTAAGAATTTAAATTCATTATTTGTATTTAAAATCCTGCTTTTCTTGGTAGGGTTAAATGCTTCTTCTAATACTAGAATTTGGTGCAGATGCTTTTAGTGGGGTTGCAAGTTGCCCCTGCTCTTTAATTACCAATGTCCTTTGTCTGTGCTCTGACCTACAGGTGATGGAGGGAATGACGTTAGCATGATTCAGGAAGCTGACTGTGGTGTTGGAGTTGAAGGAAAGGTGAGATTACTTCATGTTTTAATAAGATTTTCTACGGCAACTCAGAAGCTAGTGTGCAAGTAATTCTTAAATGAATCCTTGGAAATTTGTGCAAGAAAGTTAGAAGTTTCCACAAGAATAAACATCAGACCAATAGATTTACCATGAAATATCATTTGGCTGTAAAGGAGACTACTTTCAAGTTCACTGTTTGGTTCGTCACAGATTCCTTGTTTGGACCATCGTGGTTAGGTTTGGGTTTTTTAATGAGGTGTAGGTGCTCCAAATGCTGGAGCTAGAATGAATCTGATGACATATACCCTACGTGTACAATTAAAACCTGTTTGCATTAGTTTAGAATGCAAATGCTGGGTTAGAGTCCTGGTTCCTACATGTGGAGCTGCTTGGAGAGACAAGACTGGATTTGGCAGCAGCAGAGAGACTCTGCTTGCAGTGAGCCAACACATTAAAATTGAGTCAGCTTCAGAGACTTCAGAAAATTTGTATTCAAAACTGACTTGATATGACTATCACGTTAACATACATGTTGTGAATCATAATCCAGAGGGTTGCTTAGAATCGGAGGCCAGGGTTCAAATGGGAAGTTTCCTCATATTTTCACTCTTTGCTTAAAAGCCCCGGTGGAAGGCAGAAGTGCTGAGGTACTCTTCCCCACCTAATGTATTGCAAATTTTCTTTGAAATTTTGTCAGTGATAAATAAATAATACGATATTTCTTTGTTTCAAATAATTAAATGATCTCACTGTGCTTTTACTTGCTGTTGTACACAGGAAGGAAAACAGGCATCACTTGCAGCTGATTTCTCTATCACTCAGTTTAAACATTTGGGTCGTTTACTAATGGTGCATGGAAGGAACAGTTACAAACGATCTGCAGCTCTCAGTCAGTTTGTAATCCACAGGAGCCTGTGCATCAGTACAATGCAGGTAAATGGACTGTCAAGAGGGGTTTTTCCAACGGAGAGGTAAAAACCCCAAACCTAAAAGTAAAGTTTCTACATTTCATTTTGGATGCAACTCTTTATTCTCATGAAAGTTTTCACAAGTTGAAACTTGAGGTTGTTAGTTTGATGTGAAAACATGTTTGTTGCCTTCCCAAGTGTTCAACAGCTCAGTGTGGAGGCAGCCTGCTCCTCTCTTCCTCGAAGGAAACCTAAGAAACAAATTTGGTATATACAAAATTTACATGACTCGTGTGCAGAGCCTCAGTGTAACAAAAAAACAATTGCCAGTTGGCAGGGAGAGTTCAAAGAGATTTTTTAAGGGTTCATAAGCCAAATTCTGTTCTCAGCTGTCGTGACTTGAATGAAAGTTACAGTTAAGGACAGAGGTTACTCTTTGAGAGTTGTATTTCCACGCCATGGTGTATTGATATATTCCCTAAAAATACTAAATTTTTTTGGCATAAAATACTTGATATTTCTGAGAAGGCTGGTTCCACCCTCTCCCCTTTTTAGAATAAACATGTTGGAGAGTAATGCATGGAGACAAAAGATTTCAGACTTAAGGGACAGTCTAGCTTACTCTGCAGCTGAAAACAAGAACAGAAAACAAACCCATAACTTCTGACAAAAAAAAATAAATCCTTGGAGTTTGTATTGGTGAGTAACTCTTTCTGTGTTGTGAAGGCATCATCCAGGCACAAGTAGGATCATAGAATCATAGAATGTCTGGGCTGGAAGGGACCTCCAAAGGTCATCTAGTCCAACCCCATCTGTCCAAGCAGGGACATCTCCAACTAGATCAAGCTACTCAGAGCTTCATCCAGCCTGATCTTGAATGTCCCCACGGATGGGGCCTCCACCACCTGTCTGGGCAACCTATTCTGGTAGTCTGTCACCCTCATATTGAAGAACTTTTTCCTAATGTCTAACCTAAATCTCCCCTTTTCTAGCTTAAAGCCATTACCCCTCGTCCTGTCACTCCAGACCCTTGTGAACAGTCCCTCCCCTGCTTTCTTGTAGGTCCCTTTCAAGTACTGGAAGGTCACTGTAAGGTCCCACTGGAGCCTCCTCTTCTCCAGGCTGAACAACCCCAACTCCCCCAGCCTGTCCTCATAGGAGAGGTGCTCCAGCCCTCTGATGATTTTTGTGGCTCAAATAAGTATGTAGCTGTCCTTCACAACATCTGGACAGCGTTGATCAAACCAGTGGGCTTTGGAGGAAACTCTTTATGCTCTTTTCTGTGGAATTCCATTACAAAAGGTTTTCCAAGTCCAGCTCTCCAGTTTGCTATTAAACATTACTCTCATCCAAGGTTTGCATAGGAATAAAAAGGGTTGATGTTATATTTTTCTGTCTTCGTTTCAGGAATTTGGAGAACGCACTGCAAGTATGTTCCATTTTGAACAGAGTATGTTTTTAAGCTGTTACTTCTACTGCAGTATCTTAAGCCTGAAAAGCATTTTTCTTTTCTTTTCTAGGCTGTTTTCTCATCAGTATTTTACTTTGCTTCAGTTCCTCTCTACCAAGGCTTTCTCATCATTGGGTAAGAGCTCACTTTTTACTAATAGCGTGGAAAATCTGTGGATAATGAGGAGATTTGTGCTAATTAACATACAAGACATGCACATCTCAACTCTACATGTTTCACAACACTACTTCAGAAGATGGATGTGGTCCATGTCCACTTTCTGCTTCTCTGCACTGAGCAGAGCAACTGTGGCAGTGGAAACACTTCTAGGAACCTTTCCAAAAGGACAGTTTGTCACATTTGGAACATGAGAAGCGAGCTGTCCTCCAGGAACTGCGCCTTTGATTCTAGCAAAAAGCAAAGAGGCAGTTGTTCTGTTCTGGTGCCTGCACAGCAGTGAGAGCCAGTGCCCAGCTCCTGACAGCAGCAGAAAGAGCAGACAACTCAATCTCTTCAACAGGGAGGAATCACTTCCTGATTTCTGATAAATATATTTTTATATATATATACACACACATAATTTAAAAAGAGCAGATTCATCCCATTGCCTTCTGATGCAAAACAGGATCAAGCTTGAACTGTAGATCAAACTTTGGGGTGAGGGCAGGTCTGTCCTTGGCTCCATTACTAACCCTGTGATACCAGTTGCAGTACTTGAACCAATCATCTCTATATTGAGTGTTTCTAATCAAAAGCCATTAAAAAAGCAAATCCTGCAGGTTTTTTGTATGTGCAAAATGCTGTTGTGTTCCATTTGCAGGTTTTTATATGTATGTCACTTGGTACTTCAAGAATACTGTATTTCCTTTCTGAAGACTAGCATTTCTGCTTGCTCATCTACACCTTGGATAATTTACTGCTTTTTTACCTTCTTCCAGGTACTCCACAATTTACACAATGTTTCCAGTGTTTTCTCTAGTCCTGGACAAGGATGTTAAATCTGAAGTTGCAATGTTGTACCCAGAGCTCTACAAAGATCTTCTTAAGGTGGGGGATACTCTTGTTTGTCTCTTTTGGTTCACCATCTTGATTTGAAACTCTCTAAATGTGTAAAGTCAAATATATTATCAGTAGATACAGAACTTTATCGTGCTTTTTCAAGCAAAATTGTTTTGAAATTTGAAAACAGATACAACCAGATTTCCTGGCAGTTTGTTATTGAATGCTACATGAAATGTGATTTATTAAAAATGGCTTAGGAAATAGAAGTTCCAGTCTGTGGGAAATTATAAGGATTTAATATTACAAATTTGTTCCAAAATAAAGGGGAAAGAGAAATCGTTGGGGATTTGGCACTGTCCTGAAGCCAGAAAAGGGGATGAGGGGAAAGGATATGTCCATTTTATGGAATGAGTAGGTTGTCACATGGTTTCTTGAGAAATTTGCTTTGAGGATGATCTGAAGGGACCTAAAGGTTTGGTTGCTATGACATTTTTGTACCTTTAGCATGAAAGTTGGGTCCTTCTCCTTAGAGAGGGAAAACTTTATTTGATATTTACCTTAGAAATATCAGGACAGTAAATCTTATTTTGGAACTTGCTTTTTTTCCCCCTGGAAAATTTTTTGCATAACTGGGGTATGCAGACTAGGAACATCTTTCTTAATTGAAGGAGAGGGTGGACTGAGTCTTCAACAGATCCCTTCCCTCAAGGATTTCTGTTAAACAGATACTCTCAGAAGCAAAGCCTGTTTTTCCAACAGCCTGAATAAGTCTCCATCTGGTTTCACTTGTATGTTGTCTCTTATGTCATAAACCACTAATTCTCTAACCATCCTTAGGCCTGGTCTAAACATAGGGGTTTTTTGTACTGGTATAGCTGTGTGGCTGAGGATGCCTTTCTTTAAAACCTATCTGCCTTCAATATGATGGTGATTTGTGTACGTGTTTGTCTAGAAGTACTATATTCATATATATGTGTGCACACACATCTTGTATTTCACAGTACTATGACAAAACTCCTGAGACCTCTTTGCATTGAATTGATGGTGTGTGCAGTAAGGACGAGGTTGTATTGTACTGTGTAAGCAGTGAGCTTCTACAGTCCCTGGCCTCCTTTGTGCATCATGAAAAATAAGAATAAAGAGACAGTAACTCAGGGTTGGTTGAGTTGTTTTTTCTTTCTAAATCACCTTCAACTTCTCTCTTACTAATTGCTGAACTGATCTGTAAGTGTATGTTCATAAAAGAAAACCCCAGTGGAGCTTTGCCTTTTTTTTTTTTTTTTGTTCCCCTCCTAGGGACGACCGTTATCATACAAAACATTTTTAATATGGGTCTTAATAAGCATCTATCAAGGTAAGAAATAAATTCCTGCTTGTGCCTTTAAATGTTTTAGTGAGTACAAAATATGTAATGTTTTGAATTGCAGAAAGTTAAGTAAGGCATGAAGTGAATTTAGCAATGCTTCCTTGGGATAATGAAGGTGTTTTTATTTTTTTGTCAGGGAAAAATGTTGGTAGCATTGCTAAAGGAAGAAATTATCTAAGATTAAATGTTGGCAGCAACTGGTCGGCCCTGTGGTAGGCACTGATGTAGAAGTTCAAAGCATCGTGCCTCTTCTCATTAAGTCAGCATGAAAAATGCAAAATCTGTAGCTTTGTGTATTTTATGTAAACCCTATCGATTAGAAGTGATAGAACAGAACCAGAATAGTTCTGGTTACTTCATAGCCATCTGTGATGAAGGACAAGAGTAGAGCTCAGGTTCTTGATCATATCCCATGCACTCTAATTAGGCTGCTAAAGCAGTTAGGCAATGCCTTAATTGCAGTGCATTCATTTTCCAAAAGTGGATGTAGTAATTGGGGTCTGTGTCTAAGAAGGTCTTTTCTTTCATTTTGTCTTTTTTTATCAAGTAACCTCAAGCTCAGATACCTTCTGTAAGTGTTAATCAGGGAATCGTGGAAAGCATGTAAATAACGTGGAACTGTAAAGCTAAAATGGCAATGTGACTTTGTGACCAAAGTTTCTTTTTTTCTAAAATTGCTTCATCAACAAAAGCCCGAATAAATATGCCAAAATAAGCAGATAATTCTGACTGATTTAATTTGATATTACTATTCTCAGTATAGAGTGAATCCAAGAAAATAAAAGCTCTGGTAGCAGCTTCTTCTGCATCATACGGTAGAACTCTGTGATGGGGATCATGGTCTTCTGCTGCTGTATAAATATGATGGCAAAGCCAAGGCATTTATAGAAAACTCACAAGTGGTGGAAAGCTAAAGCCAGAGGGTGATGCATTGAGGGAAAGATTTCTTGAGCTAAGACCACTATCTGGTTACATTACTTGGTTAAAGTGACTTCACTTCTGATGTGCTAAATAACTAGAAAACAGCAGGCCAAACAATTGGGCTAGTTGCTAGCAGAGATGAGCCTGACCAAAAACTTGAGCAGTCCTAAACTTTGGAAAGTTCATAGCTGGATTTGAACTTTGTGGCTCAGACTCCAGTCACTTGCAGGTTTTCCTCTTGAAACTTGCCGAGTGTGATGGATGTTGGTGCGGATTACTCATGCTGCTAACAAGAATTATTTGTGCAGGTGGCCATGAGGGGCGTTGTGAGCATGCCCTGGCTCACCAGAATAGGAGCACGAAACAATACATCATTAACAGTGCTTTAATATGCACTCTTTCAGTGGGAAGTGTGAAGGGGAGAGATCTTGGCCAAAGTTGTGCAAAGAGAGGTTAACTTCTATCCACTGAGCTTTTCAGCACCTTGCTTCCATCTGGGCATTGAGGCAATGCAATGGATTCTAGAAGCATTTGGTATCTTTTAGCTTCTGAGTAGTGACCAGCTGCTTTTCTGGGAGGATAGAGTTCTGTGATGTTAGAAATCTCCAGTTGCCAAAATAGAGTGTATTACTTTCCTATCTCCATGTGTCTTTGAATATGATAGACTGTTATAAAAGTCTGGGCACCTCTGCTCTAACTTTTCCTTGTCTTTTCATCAGTTCTGTCTCCTAAATAGCAACTGATTCATTGTCATTAGGTTCATCAGGTTTCATGAAAAACAGTCTCAAGACAGGACTATGTTTCAGACTTCCCAAGACCCAGCAGTTTTAGAGCTTAGACTGGTGTTTGAAAAAATACTCAAATGTTCCATTCCCTTGCAGGTAGCATCATCATGTATGGAGCACTCCTCCTCTTTGAATCTGAATTTGTCCACATTGTTGCCATTTCCTTCACGTCCTTGATTCTCACTGAGTTACTGATGGTGGCATTAACTATCCAGACATGGCACTGGCTCATGATAGTGGCTGAGCTGCTGAGTCTCTCCTGCTACATAGCTTCTCTGGTCTTCTTACATGAGTTTATTGGTAAGGTTAAATGCCTTTTTTTCAGTCAGTTTATGACCTGAATAACAACAGGACTGTGAAGAGCTGAATTGAGTTTAAAGCTAGCTGTTGATGAAGCCACCAGTAATTACAGTGGCAATGGTTCTGACCAGAATAGGCTCTATTTGATTTGAAAGTACTTGAAAGATATTTTATGGCTCCTTCTCTTAAGAAAATGCTAGAGGAGGTAAAGGTGGTCAGTAGACTGTGTGCTGCCCAGTGAATGTCATCCATACTATCAAAGCTCAACCATGTATTAGCTGTCATATATAATAGTGGTCTTTATATCCATATGGGAACTTGAGACTACAGATAGAAGCCTCTGATGTTGGTTTGAAGGATTTAATCTTTTAACTGGATGAAAGAATTGCCTCCTAAAATGTACCTCATTCTATTACCTTCATTGGGGTCCGTCTTTTGTGGGTTGGTTTGTTGGGATTTGTTTTTTTTTTTTAGCTGCTTGAAACAGAGCTAATCCTTTTACCTGGCTAAAGAAAAATGGTTGCAAATACCAGATCCATAGGGTTTGTTCTAGTGTTCATTCAGGAACCACAAGATGTCACTACCTCTTCCATAAAGTTCGTTGCTAACTCTGAAGACAATGAGGATAACTTCCCAACAGGCCAGATCTGTATCTCTTGCATATGGGGTATACCAGCTCCATTTTGAACAATGCTTCAACTATTTTTGCAAAGATTCTGAGATAAGTGAGTCAAGAGATGAGTTTGCTAGACTACCAGGAAAGTGGCGGAGGGCAGCTCCCAGAGTCAGAGGACAATTAGTCCATTTAAGGGAGGCCATCTCCACTGCCAGGAGGTGGATAGCTCTGTTTCACGTGGGGTACGTATGGGCACTTGGCCCTGAGGAGTGGCATGCCTTCCTGAAATGTGCTGTGCAGAAAGCTGTGTCTTTTGTGGAAGAAGAGTGAGAAACCAGATACTGTATAAGCTTTGAACTTGAATATGGAGATGGTGAATGGAGTTGCTTTTCTGCACTTCTTCCCAGGACATACTTCCCACCTTCACTGACTCTGTGCTCTTTATTTATACAGATGTTTACTTCATTGCAACTCTGTCATTTTTGTGGAAGGTTACCGTCATCACTCTGGTGAGCTGCCTTCCCCTCTACGTCCTGAAGTACCTGAGACGAAGATTTTCTCCCCCAAGCTATTCGAAGCTCACGTCGTAGGGCTGCTCTGCTTGCACACCAGAGACAAATATTGCACATGGCCAAGGGACAAGATCATGTAGTTGTTACGATAACAAATCCGTCCGATATTTGCATAAGGATCATGTGGTAATCTCTATTACATGCTGCTTTATGGAAAAAGACTTCACAATGGTCATGAGCGGAAACCTAACGGTAAAAGGGAGTTTTATGAGGTGAAGGCACTTGTTAGTTCATCCAGTTCCTGCCACTTTTGGTCAACTTAACTGGGGTCAAATGCACCTAACCACAATGACGATAGGTTTCTCATGCATGGTTCAAAGTACCTGAAAGCTGCTAACTGACCTTGGAATTTACATCTGACAAATTTAAGTTACTTTCTAAAGTATCTGTGCTGTTCCTGGCATTGTGTTGTGTTGGTTTATATTATTTACCTCCTTGATTCAAGTAGTTACATTCTTTTTACATCTTGGAATTCCCTTAACGTAGGTGATGCACTATACTGCTGACAGCCCGTTCCAGATTTATGGCATGCTGTTTCCATAGTGGGGCTCCAGCATGTCAGATCTACACACACTTGAGAATCTGAGCGTGCTTGAGATTTTCCTTCAGCTGAAATGTGGTCATCCTAGTAATTTTGGAAGTATCCAGCCATTGATAAATAGAGAGAAATAGTAGTCCAAAATGAAGAAATTCTGTTCTGTTTAGGTTTTGTGCTTCCTGTTAAAAGGAGATGGTGACATAATATCTTTGCTCTGTATTTATTTGTATAGGAGAAAATTATCTAAACTAAAGCAAATCCTCTTTGGAAAAGAAATTTGCAGTCAATCAGACTTGAAATGTGTCGACAATGTGAGAAGAGACTTGTACTGTTCTGCAGGCAGTGTGGCAGATGTGTCTTGAATCCTTAGAGGCTGGAAGGAGAGGTCACAGAGCTGCTATTCCTCACAGCTAAGAAATCTGTTTCCTGTTAGGGCGAAACTATGAAGATGAGCTGCAGATAAGCTGAGGCACTTCTAGGTGGATGTTGTTCATGACATACTTCCTGCAGAGAGGGAGTTTTTGAGAACCTTGCACTTGCTTTGCTTTAAAAACCAAACCTGAATCACAGGAGCAAGGTTCATATGACAGTGTTGGGCTCATGTGCAGAGCAGATTTAAGTATTTATTTGTAATTTTCAAAAATTAAGCTCAATGAGTTCTGTTTATACAACAAGCCTCAGTCTATGTTCTAATACCATGAGGAAAGCAACATGTACTTAAGCTGCTCAGGAAAAGGACAGAGAGTTACAGGTACCTTTTATGGTTGGGTGCATGCATCAAACATGGATGAGCTTTTACTGGCAGCCATCCTCATCTAATGACTCTTTAGTCTGTGCTAAATTAGTTGTTTGCTGTTTCATTCCCACATCATAAAAAACACCATTGGAGCTGGCACTGCTTGGTGCCGTTGTTCAGCTGCGTGTGGGGACCAGGAGCAGCAGAGCCCAGAGCCTGAGCTCCTTTCTCTCTCAGAGCAACCCTTCCAGGTCAGGGCAACCACACTGGTGTGAGGAGCAGAAGCTCCCTGGTTGTCTCTGCCATGCTGAACCTCTTTAATGGACTGCCAGCTTCCATTGCCACTGTTACAGGCTTTCCACTGTCGTAAGCCACACAATGCTGCAGTAAAACATCTGATGTGAAAATCTGGAATTTGGAAAGGTTTTAAAAGAAATGGAGTCTGTGGCCCATAGTGGTATATTCTGAGATTTTAGATCTAAGATAGCTGTTGCTGGTGTAGTCTATGTGTGATACTTGCTCCAGGGAATGTTTTGCACAACCTCACCTGCCTGCCTTCCTTGCTTTCAGTCCTTGTGAGTAAATACCAAAGAGGAGGGGGAGCAAGTTCCAGAAGATTTAAGGAAAAATTGGATATGCTTCATAATGCATGTAGCTTGTGGTGAGAGGAAGATGCAAGTCCATGAGACTTTATTTCATGTAGGGCAAACCTCTT